CTTTCATCAGTGCATTCAGTCTGCTGAAAATGCAGAATTCTTTTTGGGGGGTAGAGGGGCCTTTCTAAAATTTCAGCCACTAACAGAACTATTTAAAGACCAAATGGAGACAATTTTCAGCATCTTTGGTAAAATTCTCTTAAATGAATTCTTGTCAGATAGACCTCCTTAAAGATTATAATTGTGGGGTAAAATTAAATTAAACAGGTTTTACACTCTTGACAAAAATCTCTTAAATGAATTCCTGTCAGATCAAGCTCTTTAAAGATTATAATTGTGTGCTAAAATGAAGCTTCACAGGTTTGACACTACTATAGCTTCATAGCACCTACGTGAGTATGTCGGCCTACTGCTGATGAGCCTGGCTCCTCCACAGGGGCCTCTGTCCCCAGAATGCACAAGCTCTGAGCTCTGATTCCTGTTCCCTGTGGGCCATGAACGAGTGCCTGTTACTTCTGAATTTCTGTTACTCCACCTTCTCAAGACAGTGATTGTTCTGCTGTTTCCCTCAAACACATGTCACGTCTTCCTTCATTAGTGGGCTCAGCAAAAGATGAAGAGTTCGTAGAAGTTGAGATCTAAAAAGAGGAAACAGTATTGGTCCAGAAGCTGGGTAGCAGTCGTCCTGGCAGCAGGACCCTCCATAGTGGACCCTCAGACGCCTCTTGAGGAAGCCTGGATCCTCTGTCCAAACCAACTCTCAGGCCAGCCAGCTACTCTCTGCCTCCCAGTTTGGCTATGTCACCGTAATATCCACGTCCTCTCATTTTTCCTGCTAAAATTCTTTTGTTTTTTTTTTTAAAGATTTTATTTATTTATTAATGAGACACACAGAGAGAGAGAGAGAGAGGCAGAGACACAGGCAGAGGGAGAAGCAGGCTCCATGCAGGGAACCTGATGCGGGACTCGATCCCGGGACTTCAGGATCACTCCCTGGGCCAGAGGTTCAACCACTGAGCCACCCAGGTGCCTCTCCCTGCTAAAATTCTTGATTGTGTCCCTTCAAAAGTTCCCTCATTTGTGGTAGGGTTTCCAAGTTTTGTTTTTAGTTAGAGGGTCCACATGCTATTTAGAGAAAATATGCAGAACACAGGGAAGCACAAAGTATGACCCAGCTACACAGTTAACATTTTGGTACATAGCTATCCAGTCTTTTTTAGTTCATACAGACATATAATCATTTAATTTTTTTAATATCCACAGTATGTACAGCTTGAGAACAGCTTATTTTACTCAGCTGGGGATCGTAGCTACCAATAAACCATTTAGCAAACATTTTTCTACGATATCCAGTGTTTTTACTCTATAATTTCTAATGACTGCGTAGTTTTCCATAGTATGGATATACCATAATTTATTTAAGGAATTAAAGGGTTTAGAAAAAGATCTCTAGTTGAGCAGCAAAAGCCATCCCCTTAAGGTGACTGTACCACATAAAAACCATCCACCACACTCTTTGACACACACAAATCCTCGAAGGAATGATTCTGTGTGTGTGTGAAATGGTTATAGCTGTCAATCATCGATTCCCCATGTCATGGTTCCTGTGCGTTGTTAGGCGGTGATTATGGATTCCTGTCAAATGAGATGTCTGCTATGTATTCAACATGAGGTGGTTTGTATTTTTCTCAGTCTGTTGCTCTCCCGTCGGAGGAGGTTAAGCGAATCTGAGTGAGCCAAAGGGAAATGGTATAGGCATCCAGTGCTGGAAACGCACAGCAGACATGCCCAAGGCCCAAAGATCCCCACACGAACAGATTAGACTCCTACATAAATACATTTGTCTTGATTGTCACATCCCACCCAGAGTTACACCTACATGCATAAAAATGCCTCCGAGCTTGTTTTTCAAAGCCGTTAGCCTCCCCTGTTGCTTTTTAACCACCCAGCTCAGAGGCATTTTTTTGTGTTATATCTATCAAAGATAATTAAGGGGCTGGGAGAGTTGATAGATAAGGACAGATTAAGAAAACTAAATATTTACGACTTGCCTGAGTGACAGCCACAGAGGAGACACTCTGTCTGCTGGGCTCAGATCAGGGAGGAGGACACATTGTTTGTGTTTCCCAGTAACTTGATTTTTAGGGATGTCTGAATGCAGAGAAAGTTTCTGAGGGTGACATCATTTATGTTAATTAGATAATCGTGTCAGTTAGGAATTGCATTTAGGGGCTGGGAGCAGTGAAACAGACAGAGTTTCATCATCCCTCCTGTAACACAAAGCCCAGAAGTGCACTGTCTGGGGCTGCACTGCAGCTCCATGGTGGCCTAGTGCACCCATGTCCTCCTCTCTGGCTCCATTATTCTCAGCATTATTTTCATGGTCAAGGTCACTTGGTGTTTGGAAAGCACTACTGCAGCTTCTGTGACTGCATTCCAGAAAGGGGGAGGGCAAGAGAGGCCCCTGCCAGCTAAGACTGCTTAAAGGAGCTTTCTTGGAAGCCCACTAACTGGGGCACCTGGGTGGCTCAGTCTGTGAAGCGTTGGCCTTCCACTCAGGTCATGATCCCAGGGTCCTGGGATGGGCTCCCTTCCTGCCTCTGCCCCTCCCTCCCCCTCATGCTCATGCTCTTGAGTGAGCACACACTCTCCCTCTCTCCTCTTCCCTTCCTCTCCCTCCTCTCTGTGAAATTAAATAAAAATCTTAAAAAAAAAAAAGCCGCTGATTTCAGCTTTCAATAATCCCAGCATCCTCTGACTAAGAAGGCAATGGGGTAATGGATACTGGCCAGGTGACTAGTGGTTTGTATCACAGTGATTGACCTCTTGAAGATTCTGGGAAGAGTGGACTCAGACACAGTGACATTTGCTGTGATGTTACAAGGTTCCATTTGTAAAACTAGCCCTAATTTACTTACTTCTGATGACTCATCTATTTCAATTCATTCATCATAGCATTACCCTGGGTCGACAGCAAATAAACCAGCCATCTCAACAGACCGTAGAACAGTAATAGCTACAGCCTGTTAGCCTTCACCAAGTTCCATGCACTGGGTCATGCACTTCACATCACCAGAATGATTGTTTCAAAATCCTCCAAGGGGGTTGGGAAGTGGATCAGGATAGATGAAAGAAGACTCCCCCGCAGGGGATTGTTGTACCCTTCTCTCTACTTTTGGAATTACTGAAATTTTCCCAGTAAAGGTCTATAAAGTCCCCCTCCTATTTCTGCATGACTTCATCTGAGGTCAGCACCATCACCCCTAGCTAACGATGCTCAGAGAAGTGAACCCAACATCACACAGTAGACGGCAGAGTCGGGATTCGGTGCCAGGATTGTGTGACTTTGAAGCCTGTGCTCTAACTCTTAGGACTCAAAGAAAGCATGCTTCCCAGACAGTAGCCTGAAACTAGTTAGAGATGCAGACCACGTGGGTCCCACCCCAAGACCTTTTGCAAGTCCCCTAAGTAAAGTGGGTACACACTCCTGGTTCCCGTCCTGGATTTCCATTGCCTCCGTGACCTCAGCTTATCCAACTCAGTCGGTCAATTATGACTTTTACTTTAAAATATATATATATAACCCTCTGTTGAAGTAAGAAGCCTAATGGTGAGTCACTACTGGTAGCATAAACATTCTTTAACCAGCTTTTAATTCACAGCAGTTGTTTCTCTGAACGTGGAGCGTCTGCTACAGCGCCGGGCACTACCTGCCGATGCGTCAATTAAGCATCGTTCTGGCTCCATGTCAGCTATTTCTCATCCCGGCTGGCTTGAAACTTAATTTGGTTTCTTCTACTTAAATAAAGCCTTTGCTTCGGCTTGCTTAAGGTGTTGGAGGTTTTAGAAAGCCTTGGGACTGACAGAAAACTCTCTAGGTGCCTGTTGCTACCTTCACCAGCGGCGGCTCTGCTTCCCCACCTACGTGGAATTTTCCATAAAAGACAGGATTTCTCTCCCTAGCATCCTCCGTCATGTCATTTCAGCCCTCTGTCTTCATGAAAGAACGGGTGCTGGGGAAATTAGAGCCCCAGCTCTGCCACTTGTGTGTCACGTGGACACAGTGAATTCCCATCCGAGCCTCCACTCCTGCATCCGGGCGGTGGCAGCAGCACCGGATTGTCTCCAAGGGCCCTTCTGACTCCCTCCTTCTGTGACCTCACAGGACTCAACTTTTCAGTCTCCCCCTCCCAGAAACATTATGAACATGCTGGGCTTTGTGTGAAGACCATCTGACTGTATTTTTCTAGTCAGTAAGAGGATCCAGCACTGATTTTTAATTGGTCTCTCTTTTCGAATAGTACATACCTTGGTCCCCTGGAGTTTATTTGCTTTGGGTCCCTTTTACAACCAGTAAATAGTGAGCGAATGAGGCCTGTCATCCATCTCAACTCTAATCTCTCTTAAAGAGGCTGGACCTTCTTTGCTTTTGAACATTTTAAAACATTTCCTAGCTGATTAACCTGGTGGTTTTATTATAATAACCTTCAAATCATGTATGTTTTTAATGCCTATGCTGTATTGGTCAACGTCCATAGCAGAAGAGGCAAGAAAAAGGCCACAGGAGAGCAAGCACCAAAGCCATCCCCAGGGACCATCACTGTCTAGGTGAGGCCTGTGCTGGTTCCTATTGAAGGTATGAGCATCAGGGCAACTCCATTCTTCTAAGAACAATCTTTTTCTGGGACACCTGGGTGGCTCAGCAATTGAGCGCCTGCCTTCGGCCCAGGGCATGATCCTGGAGTCCCAGGATCAAGTCCGACATCGGGCTCCCTACAGGGAGCCTGCTTCTGTCTCTGCCTCTCTCTCTCTCTCTCTCTCTCAATCTCTCGCTCATGAATAAATAAAATCTTAAAAAAAAAAGAACAATCTTTCTCCTACTGAAGTGATTTTAAGCAAGTAAATGATAGCTTTCTCACAACATTAAACCTAGGAAAGATGGCATGCTATGAAACACTGACAAATAACAACTACTGTGCTAGAAGTGCCTAAAAAAAAGTTTTGCCCACCCCTCTCTTTTTCATGCTGAATGTGAAATGTGTTTCTGATTTGTTTCTCAGGGCAGCCTTCGGCAAGGAGTCAGAAGTTCTTATCGGGAACCTGGGTGACAAATTAATCCCTCCACAAGACATCCTCCGTGATGTCAGTGACCTCAAAGCATTGGCCAACATGCACGAAAGCCTGGAGTGGCTAGCAGGTCGGACAAAGTCAGCCTTCTCCAATCTTTCTACATCTCAGAGTAAGTATCTGTTATGGCGGCAGTTGTGGGGACAGCAGAGGAACTAGACTGAGTAGTCACATTTGAAAGGCGGGTGCATATACCTGTCCCATATGAGGAAACATCCAGGTTGTCAGAAGATCCTGTGCTAGATCTGTGCAAGAATTCTTCTTGGGAAGCACCTCTCATATTTTGTGATTCTGCTAAAAGAAATAATCTCAGCTTCCCTGTGTAGGGTGTGGAAGGCCAAAGAAAGTTCACGTTCACACAGCTTCATGTTAAACCTTCAAAACAGTAAATCATGTGAGAACACACCACTGTGTCTCAAGAACAGAGAGCGATACCTTTGTCCTCCTTACAGCTTCTCAAGGGTATAAACTGAGTCTCAGAGCTGAGCACACAGCTGATGTTTACATTTTAACCACTATAAAGCTAATGAAAAGTGTCTAACAAGAGAATGATAGAAGTAACGAAGGATCCAGGAAATAGAGACCATGAGAAAAACAGTGATTCCCGAAAAGGGATGGCTGAAGATGACTTACAGAATTCAAGGCAAGAAAGAGCTAGGATATGAATTAAAACCAGGGAACTTTTTTCCAATTGAGGACCAATGACTCTGAGAAAAATAATTTGAAAACTTAGGGCATGGCCACTTTATGCACTAGCTATAAGATAAATATTTTAGGGCACATTTCAAAGCATTAGTTCAGAAGTATGTGTTAGGTCATTAAAATAGAAGAAAAGATAAAAAAAAGCAAAGAAAAAAAACAATAGGAAGAAGGAATAAAGGTGCTGACAGATTCAAATGCATAAATAAACAACAGGAAAAGGTAAAATAACAGCAGTAACATGAAAGAATCAAAATCAGCTTTAAACTTAATATTAGAGTTAACTGTTAGGCCATAATTAGAAGGAAAAGGCCAGCATTGTTTGGATCGTGAACCTCAGAGTAAGTTATTTATTGTCATTGTCTTCTGAAAAGTCGTGATATGGTTAAGCAGGGTTTCCAGCCTCAAGGTGGAAGAGGTGTGGATGAAGCTCACAGGGGTAAATTGTCCCCTGAAATACGGGCTCCTGGAGTCTCGGAGTCCCTTGAACGCCCACTGCTTCACGAGCCTCATGTTGGTGATATAGCTTAGCTATCCTGGAGCTCAGTGGTGGGTGGGGAGAATGGAGGAAGCATGAGCGAGATTATATGCTCTGATTCTAGAAATCTTGAAATACTACTTTTAATTTATACTTTTATTTTCGTGCTTATTATTTAACATTACTTTTTACCTGTGGCTACAATGACACATATGTATTCTCGGCATCTGTAAGGATGGGATAGTTTGGGCACAGGGTTGGGTCTGAGCAGATCTGCAAAAGGAGGTATTCTTGAAAGGCCCTTGACTTTCTTATCCTGCATCAGGCAACCCGTCACAAGCGGTAAGCTCAACCATCCAGTTTATCTCCCAGCCCCACCCCGCTCCACCAAAAATAAAAGTCAGAGCTAATTTCCCTTTTGCTAATTGCCAAACAAACAGTTCTGAAAAGGGAACACATACTTCTTTCCCGGTTTCCTTTGACCTTGACAATTGTAGGGCTGCTAGGGGTCAGTTTAGTCAGTTTACCAGTGATGTCTGGAAGAGGCCCTCTTGTTTGGTGGGCCAGCAGTGTTAATAAGCAATCCCTTATTTCCAGTGGCTCAGCATTCTAGATTTCTACTCTGTCCATCTTAAGAGGGTTTTTGCAAGGCAAAATAGTCCATAACTTCACAGCAAGCCCCTGAGTTGATTCACACAGCTAGCCTGGCATTGGCTGTTTTCAAAAGGAGAAGGATGTTCTCTAAGTTATGCTCCACTTTGTAATTGCACGATATACCTGTTGTGTTCATGTCACTGAGAGTACCCAGTTCACTTGATGTCTAATTCTTGTCTTTAATCATCTGTTATTCTGACAAAGACCTCGTCTACCACACCCATTAATACTTTGTCGCCTGTGTTCACTTCCATTTTATAATACAAGCTGTACTCTCTCTCAGTTCCTTTCAGGGTGATTATTCCACCCAGTGAGTGATTTAAGTGACTGTCAGCATTTTGATGATCATTATAAAACCCAAGTGAGCTGTAATCACTACTTATGTTGTCTTTGCTAAAACAAAGCATTTAGCGAACCTGGTTTATTCTGCTAACAACAAGCCTGGCTCACCCACACTCGTCTGTTCTTTGAATTCCCAGGAGAGATGCCCATTGATGTTTATGATTTGAGCAAAGCAGGGAATTCTCTGATAATGGGTTACTTTGATTGCTCCATGTTCAGTGTGACTCTAGAAAGGGAAGAAGGGATAGGTCTTTATTATTCTTTATGAAAAGTGAACCAAATGATTGCCTCAACAAAAGTGTTTCCAAATCTAGAAGCTAGATAACGTGAAGAAAATGCCAGCCTTTTATCTAGCAGTCGTGGGTACTCAGCCCGATGGGAAGAAATCCAGAAAAGAAGATTTCAGGTTGGTTTCTGGCTCGATATTCTGTTAACTATTTGGTGAATACCAGGCTTTGGTATAATGAAGAAGCTATTGATGTTGATGGAGTGGAAGAATTTTTCAGAAAATTATTTTCATAGTAGAGTATCTCTCCAGATATTACAGCAGGACTGTTGTCCACCCGAAACATCTCACATCATACAGAAGAGAGTACTGCATTTTAGTGCCAGGACGTGGTTGTCCATTTGTCCAAGAGGTAAAAGCTGACATTTCTTCAAAGATAATTTTTCTGTCTCTTTTAGTGTTTACTTAAATGTCACTCTGTCTCTTCACACTTGAAAGGGTCTTCTCACCTCAGATAGGTTCTGACTACGTCAAAGGCACCGCTCTTACTTTTGTCCTAGAACATTCCTTGGTTCCTTCTCCTGGTATCCCCCACCACTCTTATCTTCCTTATACTTACTCTACTTAGGATTCTTTACATTGAAAGAAACAGACTAATTGAAGGAAAAATAATGCATTGACTCATAAAACTAGTAAATCAAAGACTTCAGGTGTGGCTGGATCCAGGTTGACAAGACAGCCTCATGTCACAGACATGCTCACACACCTGTGCATGCTCTCCTGCACGCTCTCATTCTCTTTCTCTCTGCCCCCCACCCCACCCTTCTTTCTCCTTTCCTCTGTCTCTTGGTAGTTTCTCTTTGTTGCTTTCCATCTCAGGCATGCACTTTCTATATGGCAACATCGTTGGCCACCAGCAACCCCGGGATTATTTGATCCCAGACAAAAAGAGCATTTTTGCCAAGAGCTCCAGAAACAGTTCCAGAAAAGTCGTGGATTGACCCAGCTCAACAGTCTCTCATGGGTTTCTCTGATTCTCTTTGTATAAGCCTTGTTTTCTGACTCTGCTTTTCTCCCCACCTGCAACTCAGTCTCTGTCTCCTGCTCCCTCTTCTAGAATCCCTTGATGTTGACGTGTTTTCAGCACAGAGAAGTCGAACAGGATCATATTTCATATTGGGCATTCAGGTCTAAGTTTATACATATTTTTCCCCCATTGATCACAGTTTCAGCCTTGTAGTACAGACTCCAGATAACATCTGTCCTTTGTACTCTCTGCTGTTTGTAAGGATCCTAAACAAAGACTCTGAGATTAACTGTTATGGTTAAGAAAATTCTCAGCAAGTGTGACCTACATAAAAATCGTTGGAGTGCATTCAATTTGAACATTAATGGTTTTCCTTTATATTGTATTCTTTTGTTTTAGAGATGTGTGGCTTTTAAAAATAGACTCCAGAGAACCTGAGGGGCTCAAGGGCTTATTTTGTCTACATTGCTTCCTCAGAGGGCCTCCTCTCTGTCTTGGATTCTGTAAAAAAAACAAACAAACAAACAACAACAACAAAAAACCACTCCAGGATTAGAGATTCTAAAACTTCCTTAATTACATATTCTGCTCTTTAAGTAACCTTACTATCTGGGAGGTCATTTTCTCTTTCTTTTTTTTTTTTTTTCCTAAAATGCCTTCCTTCAGTCTACCCCCCTTTCTTCTGTCCTGTTCTTCAGAAATTAACTGTTGAATATTTTCTCCATAAAATACTAGATGTATCTGAAAATACTTCCACAACCCCTACCTGCCCATCTCTAGATAGTAAAGACTTCTGGCCTGGCAGTCTCAGTCTCTGAATTAAGGGCAACCAAATGTGGCAGAATTTGGAGCCCAGAGCAGGTCCACGCACACTCTCTTGGATGGTGAGCTTGGCTGTTTGTGAAAGTGGGGCACTTCTATAGGTTCCTTTGACCCAGGCTATCCGCCTCTGCTTGTGGTTCCCGTGACTGAAGTTCTTGCTGAGCCCATGTGCACAGATGATAAGCAATAAACGTCATACCCTAGTCTTTTCCAGTCTGAGAAACCAGAGGGTTAAAATAGCCCTTTAACCTCCAGGGTGAGTAGATGTCATAATTTTGGTTCCTAGAATTGGTTTGGGAATCACAGTGTTAGTTTTACAATTTTTTATCCACTTTTTTTATTGTAAAAAAAAAACCACGTAATATTAAATATGCCATTGTAACCATTTTTAAGTATGTATGTATGTATGTATTTGAAAGAGAGAGAGTGAGAGAGAGAGAGAAAGAAAGAGAGGTCGTGACTTGAGCCAAAACTGAGAGTCGGACGCTTAACCAACTGAGCCACCCAGGTGCCCCCTTCTTAACCATTTTTAAGTGTACAGTGCAGCAGTATTGAATATATTATTGTGCAGATCTCTAGAACTTTTTCATCTTGCACAGTGGAACTCTAGATCCATTGAACCATTCTCCATTTCCCCCTCCTTCCCAGCTCTGGGTAACATTCTACTTCCTATTTCTATCAGTTTGGCCTTAGATACCCCCTTATATTTGTGGAATCATACAGTATTTATCTACTAGTGACTTGCTTATTTCACTTAGTGTAATGTCTTCAAGGTTCATCCATGTTGTAGTGTGGCCCATGTGACAGAATTTCCTGCTTTTCTTATGGCTGAATAATATTGCATTGTATGTATATACCACCTTT